ATGGTGTACTAAATACTGTGCAGTATTTAACTGCCTAAATAATAATAAAAACACAGAATGTACTTTTTTAAGTTGCCTCAAGACACTGAGAGGTAAATAAGTAGTTAATATTATTCATGATAATTCATGCTAAATCATGTATTTCCTCCGCCATTTTTCGCAGTTTGGCACCTCACGTCACATCATTTTACCGAAGTCAGCCCTATAGCTTCGGCGCAGTGCCGATCACTGACGTTTGTCAACAAAATGGTGCTTGACTCTTGAGACAGGCTAAATTACACCATATTGTTAATGACATTGAGCATACATTTTTTTAAATACCTTCGCGAAGTAAAACTTCTGTACGTAGTACTTATTATTATTCTGTGGTAGAACGCAAACTAAGTAGTTTTAACTAAACGCTAAATAAGCAAAGCTTTAGTTAGCCATTAAAACTTCTGTGGGACACCACAGCGACCAAAAAATTACCATGGAACATTATAATAATAACTGTAAAGCCTCCATTAGCAATGTAGATAAGTTTAATTAAAGGCTTCGGCAGACCAAACGCGGGGCAGTAGCAGCGCTGTTTGAATGCGGGCCCGCGCAAGTTGTAATACAAGAAACTCTTTGAAGTGTGTCAAGTTTAAATGCATTGATCTCGTTGGTTTGGCCGAACCTGTCTGGTCGCCATCGCTGCACGTCGGTTGATCGCGTGTGATCGCGTTGGTTTGGCCGAACCTTAAGTGTCAGTTAACATCAAACATCGTCACTAGTGAGCGTGTAAAAAATGACATTAAATGTATGACGGATTGTACAGCGCCCCTAACGGAAACTTTCAAGAACCAAATTTTCATATATTTTTTAACGCGCTCACTAGTGAGGAAGTTTGATGTATCTCACACTAAGCCCTCAGTACAATCTAGCTACAGGTAGACTTTGTTGCCCACATTATCATTTTTCTTGTTAATAAAATAAACATTGTTTGCTTTGTGAATATTAATGCCTTGTAATGGCACGATAGTACCTACATAGGTACTATACCTATTGGCTCCGTGCACGATTACAGCGCCAACTAGCGTCCACAACTTTGTGGGTTCTGTCACATTGACATTTAGGTCGTATATTTGTGAAAAAATATCGAAATGAAAAAATAACAAATATTTTCAACTAATAAATTGTTGTGATACCACGATTTGGGTGGAAAAAAGGTTTTGAAATCATTTTGGTCATTCAAATCAAATGAGAAAAGTCCAAAAAGTGTGTTTAATTTTGATTGTGTCAGGGTTTGTTTACTTCATTTATAGTTGTAGTTTTACAGTAAAACAAAAAGAAAAAGCTACTTTAACTGTTTCATTATATAACAGTAAATATATTTAAATGTTTCTGTATCGCTAGTAATAAATTAAATATCGTTTTCAGATCGAAATGAGTATCGTTTTGAAGACCGGGTTTGTGAGAGTTACAATATCAAATTCCAACCACAAACCGTATTTAAAGGAAAGTTGTTGGTATTGGCTGGACAAGTTGAATGCATTCTTGTTTTCTTAGCCATCGTTTATGAGTTCTGTGGCCCTATTAAAGTATTGAAGAGTCGAGTCAAATTCAAGTTCATTCCTTCGTACCTGCTGCTGTTCTGGTTCATCGGAGTTTTGTTCGTTCCTTCGTGAATCGCGAAGAAACTTTCTGTTATGTTAACAAGTGATCTGAGTTTTCTCAAAGTGCAAATGCTTTTTTAGTGTTGTTGAAAACTTTGCGAAAAGACGCTTTTGGTGTATAATATTATGTGTGTTCATAAATAAAGTAAAATTATTAAATTGAAAAGTTTTTGTTTATTTGCATTTCCATGTGCAATGTAGAATTTTTCCAAATCCATTGTTTTGAAAATAATACAATACGTACACCATAAAGATAAATACTTTCAAAATAATGGATTTGAAAAAATTCTACATTGTACATCAAAAAAACAATAATTCTTTGAAGGTTATGAGGGCCTATGTGTGCGTGAACTGTGTGTATGTATGCGTGGACTTTATGTATGTATGTGTGCGTGTACTATGTGTGTATGTGAGCGTTACGTACGTAGGTTAAGTACAGCGAATTTAACACCAGGCTGTCAATTAGTAGGCTCAAAAATTTGACAGAGAGGGTTCTCTATTTCCTATGTATTACTTTTCTCTATGGCTTCGGCCAAGTGCCAACCGGAATATGTCTGTCACTGTCAGGCTGACAGTGGTTAGTGTTGCACGTAATCTTTAGTGTAACGATTATATATCGATTGTTCAATTGGTTTCCCAAAATAAATATTAAAAGATTTTTGGATTTTATCGAATTCATCATGAACAAAAAAATCGATTGCATTTTGCGATAGATTACATAAAATACAATCGTGTTTTTTTTTTAATCAGTTAAGGTGGACATACACGATTATTATATCTAATCTTTCGGCAAAAGACAGTGATCGCACTGGATTAATAAGCATCTTTTTAGGATAACAAGAAAAAAACTAAGAACTTGCTTCAAGTTGAAGAAATGATTTTTTGTTTTTTTTTTTCACTATAAAATCGGTTTTACGTATACCTACCGATTTAACTTCACAAAAGTAACAACCCTAGAACTGTCAGCTTGACTGAAGTCTGAAGGGAATTGATTCGTAAACGTAATCGTAAATCTCTGAATGTGAATAAAATTAGAATGAAATAATAAATACACTGACCCTTAAAACAATAAAAATCAACATTAAATAGCAAGGATAAAAATAAAAGTGCTATAATATTTCCAAAGGTATCGATTTGGGTGTGTTTGGGAATTCAATGATAGTGACAGAATACAATAAAAATGTTCAAAAAACTAAAGGACAAACTCGCTGAAGAAGTGAAATCATCACCGCAAAGAATCCAACAGTTCGCACAAGCTGCACAGGTATTATTGATTTATTATTATATTTTTTGTAGTTGTAAGTAATCTGTTCCCACATTTGGCTCTCAAACTCATCAGTCTGTCGGTGCTCATTGTGTCAATAGGTGAATATTATTTGACACAGTACCTGTTTAATTAAACAGTACAATTTAACAATACCAAGGGACTGCAATTTGATAAGTTTTTTGTGAAGATAATATTGTAAAGTTGCTTGCAAAAAGAAAGTATCTTTCTGGATTTGAAAAGCAATACTATCTCCTTAACCACTTCATATCTCAGGTACAAGTTAAAAGAGTTCATGACACTTCCATTAGTTTTTGATAAATTGAATTAACTAGTTGTATGCCGAGATTCCAGAACAATGCGAAAGTTATTGTCTCACACTGATCAGCACTCATGGCAATTGGCATACAAGGATTTAAATGTCAATTTACCTTATTTAAAGTAACTTTGTGCTTCAGTTTAGTCATTGGCAACCTGGAAGCTTTTAGAAGCAAATAAATCATGTATTTTGTACTAAAACTACTTTTATGTTTTAAGGCTGCCGTTACATCAGCATCAAGCAGCATATCCGACATTACGAACAGTGATTTGTTCTCTATTGGTGATAATGGTAAGTTTCACACTTAGTCAAATATAATATCAAGTGTTCCAAGAAAGACTGTAGACAGAAGAAACATATTTTAAAGTCTGTAAACCCTTGAAAAAGTGGCTGAAAATAGTAACCGAGTTTCTTGCGCTGCTACTTCTCAACACTGGCCCACTTATTGTCCTGAAGCAGTAGTAGGGTTAATACTGGCATGTGTATAAGTTCTTTTTAAAAGCCTACTTGCATAAATAAATTACTTTTATGAGTTTTTTTTTACCACTATCTCAGAAGTTATGAATTCCATGACCATTTCAGTATTAGCCTACAGTAATTATTGAATTATTTGTTTTCAGAGAATCAATCAAATCAAACACTTAGACCATCAACATCAACCAATCAAACAAATTCATTTCAAGAAGTTTCTCTTATGCAACCAGGTCAGAGTTCAGAATCTATGAACTTTGCAATGAATCATGAGGTAATAAAAAAACTGAATAATTAATCCTTTTTAAACATCTTGTGTTTATGTTTTAAGCAGATTTTATGTAATCAAACTTATCTTGTTACAGGACAATCAAAGACAAAGAAGGCTATCTAATAGTTCTTTTACAAGTGATATCTCATTTCGCCTTCCAAGCTATGAAAGTCCTTCAATGTACCATCTGCAGGTAAATAATAATGT